CCATCTTGGAACAAAGAACATACATCACATATGACAGGATTATCTCTTTTACTATTGTCATGAGATGTTTAGCTGGCACAGCAGGTCCGTGGTCAGCAGGTCAGTGGCCACAAGGTGAATGCAGCAAGTCGGTAATTAGTCCTTAGTTTCCAGGAAGAGATGCTTATCCTTAAGGAAATACCAATATGGGGGAAGCTACATTCCTGTCTTTAAGGGCATCATTCTTGTCTTTGGGACATAGTAAATACTTAAAGCAGATCTATAATGCATGTGCAACAGCTCACATCAGGCCCTTTTGGAAAAACAAGGTCAGGGTGAATTAGTTTTAAACCAAATTGCTTCCTTATGTATTCCCATATATTCTGTTGCTTTTCATTTATTCATCAGTTGCTACCCCAACTGGGTGTGGCATGGTGAAATCTGCAAGGGACCCCACGCCGCCAAGTCATCCCTGGCTTCTCTCTGCATGGCTCCAAGCCCTGAGATTCCTTTCTGTCATAGCTAGCACTTACTGAGTGCTTGCTGAGACTGACTTTGTTGTAGTTGCTTCATTCAATCCTCACAGTAAGCCTATGAGGCAGGGTATAACATTATTCTCATTTAACAGATGAGGAAACTGAGGCACAGAGAGGTTCAAAGTTCAACTAAGATGTGGCAAAACTGAGGAAAGAACCCAGGTAGGCTGGCTCCCGTAGCCGTCCCCTTATCCACTGTGCTGGGACTGCCAGTAGGGTCCCCTCATCGTTTCATGAAGTGACAAGCCCAGAGAGGAGCCAGAACCACGAGCTGGCTGGACCAGGCCCACCTTGCTGGCTCCCTGTGCTGCCTGGTTCTCACCTCACAGCCGCAAGCACGTCAAAGAGGGGAAGAGCTCCCGTCCAACCAGGCAATGGACACAGGGATGGTGGCAGTGTAGGATAACACCAAGATGATGTTTTTCCAGCATCGATGATGAGGAAACACTTCCCCTCTACGCCACAGAGAGATTCCAAATGGGGGGACTTTCACTGGGCAGTTGTGTGTTTTCCCCAGAAAAGTGGGGGCCTCAGAAGCTGGGTTCAGGTCCCTGCTTTATCACTTATAAGCCAGATGACCTCGGATAACTTACCCCTGCTCTCTAGGTCTCAGTTTCTTCATCTGGAAAATGGGGGATTATGGTAACTCACGTTCCAGGGATGTGAGAAATACGTGACAACGCCTCCACGAAGCGGGCCCCTGCCAGTGTCGGAGCCCTGCCGTTGTCGTCCCCCTGCCGGTGTCGTCCCCCTGCCGGTGTCGGGCCCCTGCCGGTGTCGGCCCCTGCTCGTGTCGGCCCCTGCGCTCCCCTGGACGCGCTTTGGAAGCTAGTGCTTCAAACCTTCTCCGCACCCAGTTTCACGCTGCGACGAAGAAGGAGCACAGCCTTTGTGTGGCTGTGAATTTATTAAGTCACTTGCTTACATTCCATTGACTTTGCAAGACTCATTCCTTTTTTTTTTTAATTTCTTGAAAATGTTCAGGGAACTCCCCAGTGGAAGCCATTATCTCTGCACAATACTTGAGATGCTTGAACCAGACAAAAGGAAACTCCCTATTGAACTGAGACAACTTCAGGAACTCTCCAAGCTCCTCTCCAGGGCCTGAACCCTGGGCCTCTTTCATCCAAGATGTCAGAGAAGATCAGAGCTCATATGCTCATCAATGGACAATAGATGTCTTCTCCCAGCCACTCTGCGTGGTGGGAGGCTGTGCCGAGATGGAGTCTAGAGAGCATGCAGGTGTTGCAGGAAAAAGTGCTGTGGCCCTCTGGTGAGGCTGCCACAGGCACTGGGCAGGATCCAGGCAGTGTACATGTTATACTTTGTCATCTTTGATCTAATGGCTACACAGGGAAAGCAAACCCAGAAAAGAGAAAGGGCTTCCCCACAATCACATGGTGACAATGTTCAAGCTGGAAATCTTGATTTTTTTCTGTTTTAAAAAAGTGTTTCTTGGGGCCGGCCCCGTGGCCGAGTGGTTAAGTTCGCGCACTCCACTGCAGGCAGCCCAGTGTTTCGTCGGTTCGAATCCTGGGTGCAGACAGGCTACACTGAGGCGGCGTCCCACATGCCACAACTAGAAGGACCCACAACTAAGAATATACAACTATGTACCGGGGGTCTTTGGGGAGAAAAAGGAAAAAAATAAAATCTTTAAAAAGAAAATGTTTTTTGACTGTTTTACAGTGAACATGTACTACTTTTGGAATTAGAAAAATAACAAAGTATTTTCAGTTGCAAAGTTAAATTAAATCAAATCAACATGACCTTACTATTACCACGAGAAAGGAAGGCTTAAAGTGGTCAGAGTAAAGCTGTGGTGTTGACGGTGGAATTAATGGTGGGACGGTATGTTGTGATCAGTGTTGTTGGGTGCTCCTGAAGAGTGCTTTACAATTTCCAAACTGGATCTCATCCACTTATCCAGTGGGTCCTCCCCAAAATGATGTGGAAGCAGGAAAAGCAAGCTCTATTTACTCCCAGTTTGCATACGAAAAAATAAAGGCTCAGAAAGCCCATGGGACTTACCCAAGATCACAGAGTGAGTTAGTGGCAGAAGTGAGATGGGAACCCTGGTGTTAGTCATTGGCAAAAGTCAGAAGGAAGTCCCAGGGAGCCCAGAGGGAGCCTAGAGATCTTCCATTCATAGCCAGGGAGGGGGCACAGCCTACCTGAAGTCAGTCCCACTGCAGTGTGTCCCGCCTGCATTCTGCACAGACCTGCAGACCTACCCTCCCTGGGAGTCTGGGCCTTCCCCAGAGGTAATCAGAGCATCCTTCATTCCCAGGCCCCTCCCAACTCCCCTCGCCTGACCTCATCAGCTCCCTAGACACAATGCACCCTTCTTCTCTTCTGTGCACCCCTCCCCCAGCTCCTAATTAAACTCGCCAGTGGTGGTGTTCACAGCAGAGGCCCAGCCTTGTTCTTGAGCTGCCCATTGTCTCCCTCAGCTACTGGGTCCAGCCTCTGGTGGGCACCCATTTCACCCCAGGGCCCAGAGTCTGATAGACCCGAGACCTGGATACAAACAGTGAAAACACTAGTGTCACGACAAGGAGTATCTGGGTTCTCTGTACTGAATGTCTGTGAAAGAAATCACAAGCATTTACTGGTTTGTTTTATGAGAAATCAAATAAACCCTTATGAATAGTCAGAAAAGGAAGCATGCTGTGGTAGAAAGATCTGGAGTGCTAAAGCAAGTGTTTAAGACCTGATTCTACAGTGGATAAACCAGGTGGCCTTAGGTGAATTGCTGCCCCTTTGAGTCCCAGTTTTCACATTTACAAAATGGGAGTCATAGAAAAATGCAAGCAAAGAAATGATAGGAAAATGCAAACCAAATGACCAGGAAATTTGGAAGCTTGGCTTGATTGGAGCTAAATGCATCTCCCCCAGAGCCCAACTAGAGGGAACCTCCCTCTAACTCGTCCTGTTACATCCTGTAAGAAGTGTGCCTCTGATCTCTGCTGTGTCTTTAGAAGAGCAAAACAGCCCATAAAGAAATCTGCTGCATTGCTTCCGCTGGATAAGACGAGGGACTCACATGGCCTGTGGCCATAGCTTGGTGGGAGAGCAACCAGAGCTTGGTGGGAGCTTGCTGATAAGATTTTGCAGTTGCACCCATTGACTTAAATTGGCTAAATACTTGAAGTAAAGTATGCTTTACCTGATGCTTGGCTGCTGGAATGGGGATGCTCTCAGATCTATGAGCACACAAAGCTCAGGCTCCAGAGACTCGCGGACTTGAGTTTGAATCTGACTCTAGGCTTCCAGAACTTAGGCCAATTACTCAACTATCCTGAAACTCAGTTTCTGCATGTGTAATAGAGTTAATTCCACCTACCTATCACAATTGCTGAAGATGAAATCAGCAAATGCCAGGAAAGACAGGGTGGAGACTCAGGCACATTGACTCTCCCCAGTCCACTCTCCGCACTGCCTCCAGGGGGCTCTTCCTAAGTATAACCTATGTCCCACCCCTGCTTAAAACCCTCAATAGCCCCTCACTGCAATAAAATCCAAAGTCTTTAATATGACACATAAGTCTGTCTTCATCCATCCCCTATGTTTTATCAGCTATATTCTTACGAAGACTCCCCTAAACTATGCTCCAAACACATGTAGCTGCCTGGTCCCAGATTACGCCCACCTGCGCAGGCACTTCCTCCATTCCTCACCCGACCCACTCCCAGACCTCAGCCTCAGCTAAGAGGGCCAAGGAAGACTTCTCGTTTGCTTCTCTCTTTTTAAAAATGTTAATGATAGTTATTTTCTAAGTAGGTAATACATTCACACAATTCAAAATCCAAAAGGCAGGGCTGGCCCAGTGGTGTAGCAGTTAAGTTCATGTGCTCTGCTTAGGTGGCCCGGAGTTCACCGATTTGGATCCCAGGTGCGGACCTTGCTGTGGCAGACTTGGTATGTAAAGTAGAGGAAGATGGGCACAGATGTTAGCTCAGGGCTAATCTTCTTCAAAAAAAAAATCCAAAGGGCACAAGGGGTGTAAGATTGACAACTCTCCTTCCTACCCATGTCCCCCAGCCTCCCAATTCTTGGCTCTGCTCCCCAGAAGCAGCCATTGTTTACAGGTCTTTCTCCTTCCAGAGGTAAACGGGAGGAAGCATATATACATATATGCGTATATGAATATACATGTCCATGCTACCAGTACTGTACTGTGCATAACGCAAATGATGCTACTATTTGTACATATATATTCATTTTCTTCACTTTTATACAAATAGTAGTATCATCTGCATTCCAACCCATTGAATGCCTTGCCCTTTTCACTTCAAAATGTATCTTGGAGGGGCTGGCCCCGTGGCCGAATGGTTAAGTTCGCGCGCTCTGCTGCAGGCGGCCCAGTGTTTTGTTGGTTCGAATCCTGGGCGCGGACATGACACTGCTCATCAAACCACGCTGAGGCAGCGTCCCACATGCCACAACTAGAAGGACCCACAACGAAGAATATACAGCTATGTACCGGGGGACTTTGGGGAGAAAAAGGAAAAAATAAAATCTTTAAAAAAAAAAAAATGTATCTTGGAGCCCAATGCACATTAGTGCATCAAGGTGCTCCCTATTACCTTTTCTCATGTGACTACAGAGTATTTAATTGGATCTGTAAATCCACTATAAATTATTTAGCTAATGCCCTCATGATGGATGTCTAGGCTTTTTTCAATCTTTGACCATACAGAAAATACTTCAGCAAACCATCTAATAATCTCGTACATGCAGAGGTGGGCCTCATTTCTGGAGGCAGGTTTGCTAGATAGAGGCAGTATGGAGATATTGCCAATTCCCCTCCAGGGGAGACGGTCAAATGGGTCTCCACAACATTTGCCACTGTTCAGCAGTATGTACCTGTCCCACCCCCTCATCGATGCAATCTTGAGCGATCAAGGGGTGGGGAGGGTGGCGGCCTCTCAGTGACATTTCCATGGTCACATCTGTCATCATGAGTGAGAGTCAGCCATTTTCACATGTCGTTGGTCTTACAGTCCTTCATACTCCCTTTTTGTGAGCTATTTGTTCCTATCCTTTGCCTGGATTCCTATTGGGTTGTTTATTTTTCTTAATGATTTGCAGGAGCTCTTTATTTACCAGGGGAGTCAATCTTTTGCCATAACTTGAATTGCAAATATTTTTGGTCCTTTGTGGAAAGACTTCTTAAAGAAGGTGATACTGATGGAAATTAGGTACCTCTGGTCCATGCTTGGTGACTGCTAAAAGAATTATCAACAGGAGATTGAATGAATGAATGAATGAGTGAATGAATGAATGAATGAAGCTTGTTCCACCCAGCTTGTCAGTTAGCCAAGTAGACAAACCAGAAGACCTGCCCCTAGCCAAGAGCAAATGACTGAGATCCCACCCGGGCTGCCCACCTGAACTAAGGTTCCCAAGATGGGCCCAGGAGCCCCTTGAAGCTTCCCTTTCTTTCTCCCCCAACACAGTCCCCTCTTCCCTGGACAGATGTGAACATCAGCCAAATCTCCACAGGGCAAGAAGGTAGGGCCACATCTCCCATTACAGAATTCTCTCTCTTGTCGGCCTGTCAGAAACCGAGAGTTTATTCCCTCATTCACTTTGAACAAAACCTGTATCTGGAGATTTTTATGATGGAAGAGTAAGAAAAGGAGTAAAGTGAGGGGGGAAGTGTTGACTGGAGGGATGTGGCCCAGAATATATAATGTCGTAGAGAAAAGCTGGGCTGGGGGCATCTCTGGTTTCTCTGGCAACCTCATTCCCAGATGGGCAGAGCGTCACTTGTCAATGTGTACAAGAGAGAGACTGGTCTTCTTTCCAGTCGAGGGCCCCAGTCTCTCCCCTCTCTCAAAACCCTGTGCTCTGGACCCTGGATCCTCTGCCTGGCCCTGTCACATTGCTCTCCTCTCCACTCAGCCCAGCTCGAAGTCTGCCCCTGCTGATCCCTCCTGGAACCGCTCACCCAACAGCCACTGGCCTGCTCTTTCATGTGCGTGCCAGGCAAAGAACAAGGCCAAGAGGGTCCCTCGCCTCATGGAGTCCACCCAAAGGGAAAGAGAGATGACACGATGATGAGAACTAATGCCACCTGACAGCTTACTAAGTGCCTGGCTCTGGGCTGGCACTCCACGTGTTTTAGTTCCTGCAAATTTCCTAATACTCCACAGGGTTGACAATTATTATTCTCACTTCACAGAGGAAATGATGGAGGAATGACAGAAAAGACAACCAACTTGCCCAAGGTCACAGCTAGGATTTGAACACACGGGCAGTCTGATCCTAAAACCAACAACTCAGTCACCGTGCCCTGCTGCCCGACAGATGTCAGAGCTTCAGGGAGGATCCCACGGGATACAGCTGGGTGCTATAGGCACTCGTCCAGGCCAACCTCCCCAGTCTGGCTACTGGGAGAGGCCTCCTCAAGTGTGCTTAGGGATTGCAGGGAGGGAGGTAATGACAAGAGCCTTCAAGGCCATAGGAAAAGCAAGTCCAGGGTGGCTGAAGGGCAGGAAGCGGTACAAGTGGGCAGGTGTGGACAGGCTGGTATAGGCACACCACACATGGGCAGATATGGGCAGGTGTGGACAGGTAGGCCATGAGCAGATATGGGCAAATATGGACAAGTGTGGACAGGCAGGGCACGAGCCTCCCCTCTCCTCTCCCTTGGTCAATCCCCCCATCCCCAAGATCTGCTTTCATTGACCCTCTCTATAAAGCCCCCATCTTTCCTGATTCTCTACTCCCTGTAGCTCCCATTCAGTATTTCTTCCTTCCTTCATTTATCATCAAGCCCGCCATGAACCTTGTTGCATACCAGGCCCTGAACCAGCCACTGGGATTAGGACCATTAATGAGGCACATGAATAAATCACAGCATCTTCTAAAGAGAAGAGCAGTTCTAAGTGCTATAATAAAGTGGTGTGTGAATGCAGAGGCGGGAGCAATTAAAAGTGTCTGGGAGAAGGAGGGCAAGGTTCAGGAAAGCACTCTGAGGCGCTGCCGCTCCAGCTGGGCTGAAAGGCCGGCAGACAATGGCATGAAGGGCGGTTTCTTTAAGGGCCAGCTACCCTGGCAGACAGAGCACGCTGTGTTCTGACAGGGAGACAGAGGTGGAACATGCGAAGCCTTGAGTCCCCAAGAAGGAGTTAGGGCTCCTACCTCAAGCCTGGGAGTTTTCGAGGGAGACGAGGTGTGCACGGTCCTATGAGCGCGCTAGAAAGAGCCCTTGCACAGCAGTAGAGGTGACACCTCTAACCCGAGTTCCCCAACCCACCCCCTTCAGCTTTATGTTACTCCGTAGCACTTATTACCAGCTGTGTATTTTACTGATTAGGTTAAACTACATGAAATGGCCCTTTTTGTAAGTCAAGATGGTGGAATATTAGCAAGCTCAAGCAGTTCAACCTATTATTGTATTTATTGTCCATCCTTCCATCTCCCTCTCAGCTCCTCCATTAAGATTTGAGTCCCACAAACAGAAGGATTTTAATCATTCTTTGGTTCACGGCTGTATCCCCAGTGCCTGGAATAGCACCTGGCATAGAGCTGCTGCTCATCAAGTATTCACAGAACGAAGGAACGAAAGAACAGGGAGAGACTGGGAGGGAGAGGGAACTCCTGAACATGGAAGTTGCCAGAGGACAGAGATCTTAAATTCAGCCATAGGAAGCAACAGACCCAGCTCTGTTCTTCTTACTTTCTGAGGGACTCTGGGAAAGTGACCGGCTTTTTTAAGCTTTGGTTTCTTCATCAGTAAATAGGAACAAGGGTAGGTGCCACAAGTGTTTGTTGTCAGGATCCTATCAGAAATCGTGGGAAGCACTCTGCCTAGTCCCAGGTACATAGCAGGCTCACCATAAATCTGATGTCATTTCCTCCTCCCTCCCTTATTTATACACCAGGCGCTGCTTTGCCCTCTCCACACATGAAGACCCACAGAATGAAGATCTTTTCTTTAATGTGAAAATTGACATATTTTGAGTTTGAGAAGAGAGACAATCCACTTAAGGTGAGTGTGTGTGTGTCTTGGGGGCAGGGCTAGCACTGTGGTGAGAAGCAGTGGGTGCTGAGCCAGGGTCTTGAGTCCCATCTATCTTGGCCCTTCACTGGCTCTATGGCTCTGAGAAGGGCACTCAGCCTCTTCGACTCCCGCTAGGTCATGAGAGGCAGGTAGACCAGCCCAATCTTATGGTTCCTCTAGCCCATTTGCTTTAGGGAAACGTCCGTTGGAAAGCTCTCTGGGCTCCCTAGCATCTGAGCTTCCATCTGATCTTGGGAGTCGACGGGCGTGTGCTCACTGAGAGGGAGATGTAGCTGACTGAAGAATCAGGATGATTGTCTCCACCCCAGCCAGTGCCTGCTCACCGCCTTCCTCAGGGCGAGCATCTCATCTGCCGTGCTTTTGCTCTTGCACGTGGCCAAGAGGAGCTGGCCTCCAGGACCTGAGGCCTACTGGGTTCCTAGAGAATTAGCTTCCTAGGCATGCAGACAGAACCACATCTCCATAATGGTGGCACCTCCACCCCTGCATGTCCTGTAGGTGCCTGAAATTGTAACTGCTTTTGATTCCATGTTTTGTTTGACACAGCCCTTTTGATAAAGAGACATTTTGACTTAGTTTAAAAACCAAACATTCGATTTCCAGCTATTTTTTTATAGTCACTAAGTAAGATGTGGAAACAACTGTCACCAAACCCCTCCATCTGTCACCTTTCCACAGCCATCACTTGGCTCCGCTCTTGAGGTAGGGACCAGCAAAGGGGTGCGAAGCTGGGATGAGATAAGAAAAGGAGGGAGTGGTCAGGGATTGTCAAGATTCCTGGGGGGGGCACATTATTTGGAAATAAAGGACAATGGTTTTCATTTTGACATGGGGACTTTGATACAGCCAAATCAAAATGTTCTCCTTATGAAAACACCCACCTCTGTGCCTTCTGGGAGACTCGCCCTCTCAATTTCCACCAGAGCTGTAGCCTAGTGGCCCAGGCAGGAAGATAACAGGCAGCGGCCAGGCCTGGTTGGGGCAGAGAGAACAAGCCAGCCCCAAAAGTGCTAAGCAGAAGCTCCTGGGAAGCCTTCCTCAAATTGTTTATGCATCGCAAAATGCCCATGCACTCCCTATTTCACTTGGTCTTCATCAAAGATGGAGAAACCAAGACTAGAAGAATGACCCCAACACCCCTGAACTAAGCCAGAGGGGAGCTGGGACCGAAATCTGAGTCCCATGATTCCACAACCCAAATTCTTGTGATATTCTTGATAATCTTAGGTTAGTTATACTAGTGTCACCCCTATTTTACAGTTAGAAAGTTGAGGCTCAGAGATTAGAGGAAATTTGCTCAAAGTGGACCACTTTGCCAGTGGTTTGAGACCCAAATTCAAGTCTTTGAACTCCTGACTCAGGACAGGGGCACCTTCTGGTGTCCTGGGGCAGGAACAGTGGTTGCATGTGGGAAGAGCTGGGGAGTTGACATCGGTGGGGACCAAACATGCAGAGAGGCAGGGAGGGTGAAGAAGGCAGACCCTGGTTTACTAAAAGACCACTGACCAATGTGCCAGATCATCTTCCCCAGGAGGCAGAGCCTTGAGTGACAGTGGATAGCCCCAATCTGATCAAGTTAGCATGCATGGGTTACCACAGAGGCCACCATGGAACCCAAGTCCCCCAAACCTCAGGTGTGAAATCGCCGGCCCCTCCAGCTGTCCATCCGCCCAGGTACTCACACTCTTTCTGCCCATCAGACAGATTTATTAGGAGCAGCAGTGGGGGCCCACGGGAGCCCAGTCGCAGCACCCCCATCAATCCCAGCACAGGGGCGGGCAGGGGACAGAATATATGTAAGGTCATTTGGAGACGGAAAAAATCATTCATAGCACTCCCGAAATAGCCGATCTCCGTTCTGCAGCAATTGCCACCTTCTTGGCCCTAAATCAAATTCTGCTGCGAGAAGCAAACTCAATCTTCTCTCTCCCAAGTTTTGCTTTTTATGAGATCAGCAATAAATTGGGGTGTGGACAGAGAAAAGGCACCAAAGGTCGCCAGAATCGGGACATGTCTGTGTGGCCTGGACCAAGTAGAGAGGTGAGGAGAGGAGGGAAGAGAGCACCAGGGTTGAAACGGGGCTGATGGGGACAGGAGCATCCAATGGCCCAGTGGTCTGTGTGCTGAGTTAGTACCAAATGAATGAATGAAATGACAAGGACATGCTTCCTGCCTTGGTGAATCTTGGATCAGGTTAAAGAAGAAGGTCTCTGCCCGCCCCGTTAAATGCACAGTGAGAGCTGTAATCCTGGCCTGCGGCTTGTGATTATCACAGCCCAGGGGGCAGCTAACCCCTTCAGGGTGTCAGAGACGCTCCCTGAGATGCAGAGATATTCAAGCTCCCTGCGCTCCGTAAATGTGGGTGTTTCTCTGGCCTCCACCTTTGGGCTCTTCTCTTTTCACTCTACATCAGGATTCTCAACCTGGGCCATACTGACATTTGAGGCTGGATTAGTCTTTGCTGTGGGGCTTTCGTGTGTATGGTAGGATGTGTAGCAGCATCCCTGGCCCCTACCCACTAGGTGCCAGTAGCACCCACCAGTCCTGACCATCAAAAATGTCTCTAGACTTTGCCAAATGACCCCTGGGAAGCAAAATTGCTCCCAATTAAGGCTCACTGCATCCATGCTCTCCTGGGGTCTAAAACACTCGTAGACAGCCCATCTCCCTCTCCAGCCCCAGGCCTCCCTGCTAAGCTCCCTGCTCATCCCACAGGGCCATCTGCCTGCCAGACATTGCTCCCTAGATGGCTGCTCAAATGGAGTAAGTCTCATAACTGGAGGCACAATTGTCCACCAGGCCACCCCACCAACCCCCTGACCACGTGCCACCTGCCCTCCCTACCTGATCCTTTTCCTCCTCTCCTAGTGGATGGACCCTGGGTCTAAGCAACTGTTGTTCTAATAGAAAGCTAGTCATCTCCACTCCCCTCTACTAACATCCTAGACCAAATCAGACATCAAGACCAGTGGGCTCTACCCCTGGACTGCTCTCAAAACTGGTCGTGCTCCCCAGTGTCCCTGTCACAGGCTTGGTGGGGGCCCGCTTCCCACTACCTCCCCACCTCTACACGTGCCCACTTCCAGTCCACCACCCAGGCCTTCACCCAGGGAACTTTCTAAAGCACAAATGTGGTCAGGTCTGTTGTGTGTCAGTGAAATGTCTGTGGCTCCTCAATGTCTCAGAGTTAAATCCAAACCCTAGGGACCCACAGAAACAGTTGTAGCCCTCCATCCTGAGGATGCACACATGCACTCACGCACACACACATGTGCACAAGCACACACACACATCACGTGGCCTACCTTCTAGCTGTGATGATACTGATAATACTCATAACAGCTAACATTTGCTAAGAACCTTTGGCACACTGGGCACTTTTCTTACCATTTTAGACAGTTCTTTATATAAACCTATTTAAATAATACCCCTATCGGCAAATACCTCTATCATTCTCATTTTAGCAAGAAGGAAACTGAGGTACAGAGAGGCTGTGACAGGAAGTGAGGGACATAACCAGCTCGTTCAGCCACTGTGCAACACTGTTTCTCACCCCTGGATGTGCAAGGGCCTAGTCTAACCAGAATGTTCTTCCCATCCAGCCCTCTTCCCCTGGAATATCCTTCCTCCTCTCAGACTTGCTGTAGCTCAAGTCCTCCCACCAGAGAAGCCTTCAGGCAGGGCCAGGGCCCCTTCTCCAGAGGCTGAGGTCCCCGCTGAATGAGTGCCTAGAGCTGGGCCCGGGCAACGTGAGCAGGTCTGACCTGCCCTGCACACAGGCTGGGCCCAAAGAAGGTGCCCCTGCTCTTGCAGACCCCAGGCTCTCTTCCACTGCTCCATGGAGACCAGCCCTTCTCAGTCTAGGGCACCTCCCACTGGACTGTGAGCTGGCACATTCAGGGTGGGCTTCTCAATGAGCTGGTCAATCCAGCTTCCACACCTATTTCTCATTTCTTTTTTAACTCAAATTAGCCAGTTTCGTTCTGTTGTTTGCAACAAAGAACCATGACAAACACACTCTTCTCCTTGCTTGTGTTTGCAAGTCTCTCTTCTCTCTCTTCTAGAAGTTGCCATCCTCTTTTCTCTTCTTTCGCAGATACTTCCAAGTCCAACTCAAAAGCCATCCACCTCCAGGACGCCTTCGCTGGCCATACAGTATCTTTGGCAGTGAGTTGCATCTCTGCCATTTCTTGCCTGTGTAACCTGAAGCAAAATGCATGCAGGTGTCTCATCTGAAAAATGTCAGTAACAATAATAAGCATCTCCTAGGGCTTTGGTAGGAATAAAATGATATTATATAGAAAAATGTACCTATTGATAATTTGTCCACCATATGATGAGAGTTCAATAGATGTTTACATAAAAAATCTTAAAATAATTAAGCAATACACATAAAGATGGTAGAACGTGGCCATATGACATGAGCAAATGAAATAGATTTCCGTGCAAAAGATATCACTTACTGAAATATTGGTAGTTTAGTAAAATAATCAATAAATGAATGAATAAAAGATAAGAAGCTTCTCTGATTTCCAGGAAACTAAGGCACTTGTCAGCAAGTGCTGACAGCATGCTGAGCCCACACTGTCCTCCTTGGCACCTTTCTGTCATCCACCCCAGGTGAGCTTATGTGGGCAGGTGTTTAGGTAAGTATTTTATTAAACGAGAATTGTGATACAGCTGGCCTCGTCTGAAGCAGGTACTCTCGGCCAAGGCTGGGGCCCTGCGGAAGACAGCACAGCCCTTTGAGGGCACAGGCTGGACGGAGCCTTTCACTGTAAGGGAAAATTGTCCTGGCTGTGTGCTTGTTGGGATGGGATTCAGCCACTGTGGGTTCAAGTCCCCTGATGGCTTTCCCTTTGCTAAGTAACTGCAGGCAAGACTCTTCCCCTCTCTGGGCTGCAGCGAGTTACCTAATCTATAACATGAAGGGTTGGCCTAGATGATTTGAAAATCCTTTCCAGCAATAACATCCTGAGGTCAAATCACCAGCCTGATGTTTATTTCCAGATATTAGTGTGTGTGTGTGCGCGCACGCATGTGCATGTGTGCACACACATATGTGGTGTGGATGCATGCGTGTATGTGTGCACACGTGTGTGCATGTATGTGTGTGTGTGTGTGTGCATGCTCAGGCACATGTCTGCATGTTTTCAGTGTCCTTGAACTTGATTGATAATGCCTCACATGAGGTGCCAATGATAAACACAGACCGTGGAGATTTCTCTTCCGGCATCCACTGCCTTCAGAGCACATAAAGGTTCTGGGACAAGCGTGACACCTCTAACTTGCGTATATATGCAAGCTGGCAAGCTTTGAGCCCAGAAGGTCTTTTTTTTCCTGGCAGCTATGTTAAATGTGTCCACATAATTGTGTGACGAATATTGTATACAGCTTTGCTTAACAAAACTCAGCCATCTCATTTACCCAGGAAAGCTGATGTGCCACCTGATAAACAAGGCTATGAAACAAACTTTTTTTTCCGAATAATTATATTCTGGTGGCTGCATGGACAGACCAGCAGAAAATCAAATTATTTTTATACAGCACAAAGAAAGGTCAAGTTAAATGCACGTGAGTAGCCACTAGAATTACAGGGGAGTCCTTCTGGGAAGGGAGCCTCTTTGATTCTATGTAAATAACAGAATAATTTGAAAATTCATTATTCTCCCCATCACAGTGTATTTTTAGTTTAGCTGGTCCTTTATCACTATTCGGAGCTTCATTAAATATAGATTTTAAAAGAGGCTATCACAAGAGCCTTCTAAATATTCTAAATACTTTTTTCTCTATCATTCTCCCCCTAAGTCTACATTCTACCCACACCCGCAGTAACTGACCTAAAAAATAAATACATAAAATGGTGTCACTCCCTTTCTCAAAAATCACCACTAACTTCTATCAGTTGGAGTCCAAATTCCCTAGTGTCTTTCCAGGCTCCTCAGATTCTCTGACTCCCCCTCCTTTTCCTGGCAGCCTCAGCTGCAGCTGCGCTCCCAGGGTGCAATTGGCTCCCCCTTAGTCACGTGGAACCTCTCACCAGGCCCCCAACACTACCAGGTTCTTTCTCTCACACCTTTCTCTCAGGCCTTTGTTCATGCTGTCTCCTCTACTGGCCTGGCCTTTCCAAGCCCTTTATTCACCCAGGAAGCTCCTACCCCTCTTTAAGGCCCAGCTCAAACGTTTGTTCTTCTGGCAAGCCTTTCCCAAACGTCCTCAGTCACTTGGTCAACAAATATTTGTTGTGGGTCTCCAGTCCCTGGTGTTAATGAGACAGAAATCAATAGTGAGGGCAACACCTGGACATACACTGAGAGGTCATCTGGAAACCAGAAGATGTTACCAACGAAGCAAAACAGGAGTCCCTGACTTAGCTGACCCCGCGAGCAGCGCCAGGTACACGGCAGGCTTTCCCAAGCGTTGTTGGAATGAAGGGGTGCTCCTAGGGTGGACAAGTAACCATGGGAAGCCATGGGACCCTCCCAGGAGCTAGTGAAAACAGCTTCGGGTGAATCCCATGTGTTGCCACTGGGAATGTCACCCCAACTTGGGCAGCTGGTCAGGCTGCTGGTGCTACCAAGGCCCAGGGGAGGACGGGACCCTGGACTGAAGCTGAGCCAGGTCAGGAGCTGACCAAGCAGGTGGAAGCAAAGAGCGAGTGCTCGTGGGTGGCTGATGGAGGTGTGCTGAGCCTCCCCCTCGGGAAAGAAGGGGGACCCCGGCAGTGGCAGGGGGAACAGCAGGGCCACCAGTCCACAGTATCCTAAATAACCAGCGAATGGCTGCTGAACTTGAAGCTCCATGTGAGCAGAGGCTCCTCCACCTGGTTCCACATGGCTCACTGGCAGCTCTAGGACGCTGCCTGGCATGCAGCGAGCACTCAGCACACACCTGCCGAACGAGTGAGTGAGCTCGTGAGTAAACGAGCAAACAAACAAATGAAGCAGGGACCACTGTGCAAGAACTCCCAGGGTGTCGAAGCATCAGCGTTTTGCTTTTGGAGCCTCCCTCAATTTCCCGTTAAAAGAGAAGGTTCCCAGGGCTTGTTTCCGAGGACAAGGAGACGGGCGACAGACAAGAAGGGGAAATGGAACCACCCGAAGAAACAAACCAGGAGTCGACTTCTATTTTCTCTTCTTAGGCCAATCAAAGAAAAAGGAAGGGCCTCTCAGGGTGCCTCGAAGGCCCTCAGAAGTTGAGTGCCAGCCTCGCACCCAGGGGGCCCTGGATAAAGGAGTGTTGAATGCTCTCAATGCGGTCTTCTTCTCTGCAGTTGTTTTAAGAGCATGACCTCTCTCCCTACCCCAACTCCCCCCAGGTCACCCTGCATCTGTCTTACTGTGACCCCACTAGCAAGCTTCTGGCTGAGCTGGGTGCCTTGGCTTGTGAAATGCTTCCCCTAGTAGGAAAATATCACTTTTAGAGAGAAAGAAATCTATAAAATATAGCCATGACCTAAAGCCCTGCCTGGACTCTCTGAAGAAGCCCAGAAAGCTCCATTTCCTAGCACTGGGGAATTTCATTCCTCTTTCCCATCCAAGGACGGTGGAGACGTCCTGCAGGGAAAAGGGCACACCAGTCAGGGGAAGGATGGATCCTGGACCCCAACGAGGGTTCAGGCAAAGATGAGGGATGAATTAAGACCAGGCCAGACCCCAGACCCTGGGAGAAACTCAGGTCCATCCCTCCTGCCAAGCAAAGAGAGACCCACGGTGGTCACATGATCTGCAGGGAGTCCATGGCACAAGGAGGGAGGAGTCCGGGAGAAGATGAGAAAGGTGGTGGGACTAAGTTAAGAAGGATTGAGACACGGGGCTGAGAAGTCAACAGGCACTGAGGAGCCATGGAAGCCTCAGGAACAGAGGAAGTGCCAACCCAAGGTCAGCCAGAACGCAGGGGAGAGACAGGAGCAGAAGAGCAGTAGGAGGCATTGCGACCATGGGGTGGAGATTAAGCTCGAGGCAAGAGAACCAAGACCCTCCCCAGCTGAGTGTCAAGGATTCCAGCGGACCGCCAACAGACATGAGACTCCATCATGTGTTTGGAGAGGAATCAAGAAGCAGCCCTTTTAGATCCTCGCCTTATCTTAGGAAAAACTTGTCCACAGAGAGCAAGCAAGCAAAGTCGGGGAGCCAAAGGAGGCATTTGCTTTGGATGCAGACAGCCTGGGGTTGGAGCGTCGCTGGAGTCCAGTCAACACTCTGTGTAGGTGAGGACAGGGTTGGTCCGAAGTGCCCGTGTCAAGTGTAACAAAATGCCCATGGCAGAGCTTTACAAGTGTTTGTTGAATGAAGTATCTTCTCTGCGTCTCCAAGTCTTGGTCCCCTCTCCTGTAAGATCCTTTACTTTGGGATATTTGTAATGTACTTGGAACATGATAGAAACTCCACAAATGGTTTCGTTATTAATTATCCTTCATGGGTAAAGAAAGTGATCAGTAGAATTCAAACTGTGAGAGAGAATTAACACTTGACAGAATATCTGGGCCACAGAGTTATGTAATTTTTATAGCACTTTAATTTCCAAAACTTGTTCATGCCGATAACTTCTGGTGGGTCCCGACCACCTGTGGTTAGTATTGAGATTGCCCCTGGTAGAGGAGTTAATAGCTGGCCTGGAGTCACATGGCAGGTCAGTCAGTGGTGTGCCAGGTGCCCTGTCTTCCAGCCCAGGACCGGTCCAGGCCTTTACCACAGGACTCCTGGCAGAGAGCTCAAAAACAGCAGAGTGATCTGGTGCTGGAGGGGCTTTCTTCTCAGCATACTGGCTCTCTGTGAGGTGAGGGAGCCAGAGGAGGGCAAGGCTGGGAGAGCAGTGAGCAGGTGGGACCCAGGGGCACTGCACGCAGAGCTTGAAAAGATGCATCCATCTTGGCCTTGGTTGATGTTGGTTCCCATTCCTAAGATGGCAAGGTGGCCCTTGGTGACTCTAGGATGCTCCAGGCAATGAGGCTGCATTGGGTGGTCTCTGCAGCCAGTCCGGGATTTAGGGTGGGGGTGGGGAGACGATACATCCCTCCAGGGTGTGTCTGGCATAAGATAAAGAGGGATGGCACAGTTCAATCAGGTAAGTTGAGGCAGGATTTCTATCTTGAGTCATTACAGCTCACCGCAGCCCTGCAGATTCTGAGCCAAAAGCTATCCAACTAGTTTTAGGCCTGCCTGCTGATGGGGCTGACTTCCTGAGGCCCATCATCCTGTGTGATTTGCCTAGACCCTCCATCTTCAGGGAAGGACCATGGTGCTTAGAGCAGGCCAGCGCTCCAGAGAAGCCACAGCTCATACTACATGAAGCCAAATACCCACAAGCACTCCAGGGAGAGGTGGATGGGTTTGAAGGTCAAACAGCATTGGTCTCTTTCCATATCATACCATAATTCTGCAAGATGTAACCACTGGGGGAAGCTGGGTGAAGGGACCACTCTGTACTATCTTTGCAACTTTCTATGAATCTAAAATTATTTCAAAATGAAAAGGTACAAAACTTGGAGTCATGACATTGGTCTTCAGTATCTGATGCCACTAACCTCATGATCCTTTGACAATTCCACCTAGCTTCTAAGCAAAGACTCTGACCCAGTTAGGACCTTTTCAAGAAGAAACTGTCCCCTCACTTTGCTCCTCCTCGTTCCCACCACCACTGCTCTGAGTCAGATTTGCATTTCATTTCACCTGGACTCTTGACCCCTTCCTACTAGCCCCCTGTCTCCGGTCTCCCTCTACTGTTCCTCCTCTCTATCACCACCAGAGAGACATCTCTAACTCTCAGCTCTGCTTCTAACCTTCCCCCTGGGGGAGGACCCTCAATCCTTTTGGGATGAAGCCAAGCTCCTTAGTAACCTCTTCAAAGCCCATCACATTGTGGTCTCAACCCACATACCTTTCCAGCTTCATGTCCCCACACAGATCCCACCATCACAGAACCCCAGACTCCACACACTAGCTGCAACACACCACCAGACAATCCTCTAAAAGACTACCAATTCATCCAGCCTCTCTTCCTTTGCCCAAGCTGTTGCATCCAGTGGCCGACTCTTCCCTAACCATCTCGCTCCATCTATCCTCCACTTCCTCAATACTTAGCTTCAATTCCTTTACTACCTCAACCCCACCCAGTGGAAGCACACCTTCCTCAGGGTTCCCATGACTCCAAGGGGTGGGCGCCTAAGAGAGGCACAAACTGACCCCTGTCCCCCAACTGGTGTGGCACACAGTTGGTTGGGTCCTCGCTAGAGGGAGTGCCCTAGGGACCAGGACCAGCCCTGGTTCATCTTTGCCCCCTGGGTGTTCTTGCCCATTAGAGATGCTGGATGAATATTTCTGAAATGTACCTGTTGTTGAGGGAGACATTCTTCAGTGCAGAGAATCAGCATTTGGGTGCCAGAAGAAATGTGCAGTTGTTTTGAAAAGAAGTAAAAATTACTGACCTTCAAAGCAAATTTGAGCCGAGGGTGTGCCTGAAACAAAACACAAAAGGGAGGTGGGAGCAGGGTGGGGACAGGAAGATCTTCCAGCTTTGGTGGTGTACCCAGAAGAACATCTTCCAGAGCCAAGAGGAGGTAGAGTTCAGGAGAGGTGGGAGCAAAGCCTCCTTCCCTCCTCCTTGTGATCTTCCACGATCCTGCTGGGTATTTAACCACCTTTCTCTCTGGATGTGGGTAGGGACTGGCTTCCTCTCAGCACGTTCCCCTGCAAAGGGTGCCCTGGGCCCCTGGAGGAAGGCAGACTGTGAGCAGGCCTCCATCAAGCCAGGCCAGCAAAATGGTGCGCGGCTGGCCAGCCGCATTGATCCTCGGCTGGTGGGAGGTGGGCCAGCTGGGTCGGGCCTGCTGTGCTCAGCAGGTATCTCATCTGCTCTCTCTTTGGCTGCACAGCCTTGAGAGTCTGTTTGCAATTACAGCCTGTTTTGATTATTAGGTCAGAATATTCGTCTCTGTGGGCTTATGATAAAAGACCCAAGCAAGACGGCATTTCTCATTTCAGACTAAGTCTCCCTCTCTTTCTGTGGGTGTGTTTTCCTTGTTTAACCAATTTATTCAGTTCCTGACTCCAGGAGGGTGGTGGCTGCAAGAGGCACCCCAGAGGCTGTGAATGCAGTGGCCCCCGTACAGTGGGAGTGGGAGGCCTTGGCGGCTCCCTTGGAGCCCCACCCAGTGAGGAAGCCAGAGTTGGGCGGGCTTTTGATTCATCCAGAAGGCAGCTGGCTGCTGAAAGCAGAGGCTGGTGTTGGGAAAATCTCCTAAAAGCCCAGGCCTGGGAGGAAGCTTGAGTGTCAACTGTCCAACCTTCAGCACACGCTTTGTTCCTTCTCCACATCCCCACCAAGTAGTTAGGCAATTTCTGTTCCCATTCCTCCAGGGATGGGGAACTCACTACCTCCTTGGGCCACCTGTTCATTGGACATCAACTCTAGAAAGGGGAATGCATCCTTTCTTATAATAACAGTGAATCCTTGGCCTCTAAGTCTTCACTGGGCCAAATATCCCTGTTTCTTCAACACACTGAGTTTGTTATGGATTTGAGTCACATGACCATCCTGAGTAAAGGCAATGTCCCCCATGTGGTCCGAATACCCAGAGTAAGCAGGACTTTCACCTTCCTTCTTTCACGCATCCTACCCCTTGGCAGGATGTTCATGGAGCCTATGCTTCTTTTTGGCAGACCCAGTTCTAGATCTTCTGAAGGAGAAAGTGCCCTCACTGTGTAATCACCACCCTTCCTCCCACTGAAGCCCCTTCATCTGTCCTCATAGCTGAGGTCCCTCAAGATGAGTTTGTGGCCCATTTGTCTTCACTCTGTGGCTCTGAAGCCACAGAATAATCTTCAAGACAAAGATGAAAGGGGGCAGAAGAGAGAAAGGGAAGTCACTATGCTCTCAGTCCCAGAGTAGTCAGCATGCTTTCCCACCTCAAGATGCGATTGCCTGATTTCTGGAGCGGGACGAGAGAGACAGAGACAACAGAGAGCTCATGGTCTCCTGCAGAGCCTTGAGGACTTATGACAGTCTTTCTCATCCGTGTCAGTGTCACAACAACTCTGGGAAACAGACACTTGTGTTATTTATATGATGCCGTTTTGTAAAACTGAGGTTCAGAAAGCAGAAGTTACCAAGCTAACAAAGGCTGGCCCTGGGAGAAGAGACACAGATTCTTTGAGTCGAAGCTTGGTGACAGTCAGATGGGCAGGCCCAGAGAGTGCTGAATTTGTTTTAGATGGCATGTTAATATATACAATATCATTTAGCATCCAAACAGGATCTTTGGGACTGAAAGGGGGCACTATTAACATTTACAAAGGACACAGGCACAAACCAAGACCGACCCTGGCAAAGCAGGGTATATGGTCCTCCTGCTCTAGAGATCTCCAGTTCCAGGTCCCCCAAGCCAGCCTCCTCTGCTCTACCATGCTCACCTCAGAGAGCAACCCAGAGGCACCACTTATGCAGCGGCATCTCTGAAAATGACTCAAATTTCCTCCTTACTAGCTCAGACCTTCCTTCTAGGATACTGATTGCTCCATCCAGTTGCCCACTGGACAACTCCTCTTGGATGAACCATGGGCCCTGTGAATTAGCTTCCTCAAATGCAGCCCTGTGCAGGTCCCAGTTGTATGTGGGCATCTGCTCTACCTCACAACATGTACAAAGAACGAAATAAAGACCAGCTCTCAGCACAGACCCACAGCTTTGAGCTCAATCTCACCCCTTAATGCAGACTGCCTAGCAATTCTGGCTGCTCTCATCATCTCTGCCAGACCCCTTGGGTTTGTTCTTCAACTGGAGATGCATGCCCATCCCCCATTTTCTTCTCCTCTTTCAGCCTGATTCTGGGTTTTCATCTCAGTTTTCTTGCCCTTGACTTATCTGAGGAGGTCAAACTCCTGCTCATCTCCTGTCTGACTCAGGTCTTGGTTCACCTTATGCCAGTCCCCACCTCCATCCTGGACTTGATTCCATCATGTTCACCGCACATTCACCGCAAGCCAAACACAAGCACGCCCAAGTAAACCCACATTTCTCCCCAGAACTTAATCCTCCTTCTGGATTCCTGATGTTAGTGAGAGACACCACCAGGTACCCAGTCACCAAGGCAAGTCCTGTTGATCCCCAGAACCACAACCATGTTACAGCGGTCTACACTCCTGTCCCACTTTTCCCTATGAGAATAATCACCGCTGTGTCTAGGTATCACCCACATCATTTTTTGCCATCTCTCCTTTTCTCACTCGCAGTCCCTAGCAGGGGCCTGGCTTGTGATCGACTCTCAGCCGTCATTTGCTGAAACAAAAGGCTGGATGAATAAATGAATATCCCAAAGCCAACAGCGGCTCGATCAGGAAATTTGGCTTCATTCTATCCCAATTGTTCCAAACGATTGGATTGATTTAATAGGAATGCTTCCTAATGCGTGAACAATTATTATTGTTTTAAATTAGCAAGAATAAAATTCCACCATCTTTCTCCCTGAAGCTACTTCCAGAGATGCTGAGCTATAAATTTGCAGCACCCATGAGGAGCTAGACAATAGCTATAGGAGCTGCAAGGAAATGCTGCAACTGGAAGCATCTCCAATCCATACTTCTCCCTTTAGAGAAGGGGAAGGAGCTAAAGAGCAACAAGGAATTTTTTTTTTCTTTTCATTTTAAAAGGGACTCTTATAACTCTTTCCTGCCCTTCCTTCTAGCTTCACGAGAGAGAGCTGAGGTGGAGCGTGTTTGGCTGACTGAAAGAGGAAAACATGAAGTAAATTTAACTAAGTGAGGTAGCTAGTGGATTTCACGCAAAAGTCGACAGCGTTCTGTAGCCTCATACCCCCCTCACACTGTTTCTTCCCTTCCTTCATGACACCAATGCCCTCTACTCTTCCGACTTCGATTCTGGCTACGACACTAGGTCTAAGGTCCGGGTGACGAGTAATCTGAGGCTTGGTGCCAGCTCCACCCCCACCCACCGTGTAAGCATGTCCTCTCTATGGCCCTCAGTTTCCTCCATCCACCCAAACTCCTGACTGTGAGATTCTCAGCCAATAGTGGCATTGGTTGGTTTTTCTCCCTCTTGTGAGACCAAGTCATATAGAACCTCCTCTCACTCCTAGGCTCAGCACTTCCTGGGAAGGACAGAGCAAGGCATGAATAGTGGTCCCTCAGCTAGGCTGGTGTCATAATTGCCTGCAGGGGCTCATTTACACACACATTCCAGGACCTCAGGGCAGACCCTGCAAGTGGGACTGTGCAGGTGATTGTGTGGGCAGCCCAGTTTGGAACCATGAAGCACACTGGGATCAGGTTTTGCTACAGCTTGACCATCTGGTCACTGCAGCAGGTGCCATCCACACAGAGCACTGTCATCTGCTCTGGGGGTGACTGAGCACAAGTAATCACTTATCCATCCATCAGACTTTATTGACTCCTTCCCATCGTTCAGGGCGTGAGCCAGAAGACAGTGGTGTAACAAAGATGAAGAAGACATACTCCTCAGTGTGAGGAACAAGGGGCAGACATGGGAACATGGCTGGGCTCCTCGAATGCAGTGTGACAAGTACTAGTGTGGAGGCAGGTCAAGGTGTGAGCACAGAGGAGGGATTTTCAACTGAGTCTGGACAAAGAGATCCCAGATGTGAAGCCATTAGAACTGAGGCTTGGTGGGGGGTAGGGGGGCAGTCTATGGGCTTCCAGATGGAGAAGGAACACCCATTCTTGGCCATGGGTCCAACAGGGACAAAAGGTTAGAAAGCATGGTGAGGCTTTACCTGCCATGCTAAGGAGTTGGAACTTTATAGGCCATGAGGAACCACAGAAGGGCTTTAAGTAGAGATGTGTCCAGCAGGGTGATGTTGGACAAGACACTTAACCTCTGAAGCCTCGCTCTTGTATACTAAGTGGGAATAAAAAGAGCACGCACCTCTCAGAGTGACCGACGGAAAGATCCCGTGGTCAAATGGATGTAAAGGTGCCTGGCACAGCTTCCAGTATATGATTACCCTGGAAATATGGTTATTAAATCTAAATGTGTTCACCAGCTCCCCTCTCTGAGACTCACCAAGCATGCATTGTGTATGTGCCCTCCACCGCAGGCACACACACTCTTTCAAGCCCGGCTCCAGCTTCACCAGGGTCACCCCTGGTGGTGATTTTCCTCTGCGAACATGCCCAGCCCATGGACCTGTCTCAGTGCTGTTCCTCCACCCTGGCCCCCACCACACCCTTCCTCCCTGGCGGTCCTGTTGGAAACTCTCGCTCGGCCTGGGGGAGTCAGCCACATGTGCAAATGGATTTAAATAAGCACGCCAGTGTTGTTTGTGGTTTCATAATTGAGTTCCCTTGGGAATGCAGAGAAGTAGGAGCTGAGATCCCAGAGGTGAGGGGTGGGTGCAGGGGAAGGGAGGGGGACCGCTGGCCGGGGAAGTGTACTGGGGACCAGCCAGTTCTGGTGCACGCCCCAGGCCTCTGTTGAAACCAT